GTCAGGAAGTTGGGTGTTGAGTGCTGGAAGCGGCCTGCTTTTTGGTGGTGATTAGGGTCGCCTGCGTCAGCCATCTGAGAACACACGCGTGCCCTCCTCACCCCTGGCACGCTTCGATAAACACGATCCTGGAAAAAAAGGAAGGAAAAGAAAAACCCCATCCACTCAGTGCTGTCCTCCACACGCCCGTCTACTCCAAGGAACTCTGTTTTTCTTGCTCCTGCCGACTTGGCTGTCTGGCATTTTTCATTTCCAGATTTAGGCTGTGTGAGGCAACAGGCTTCCCAGGGTCAGAGCAGGGCCAGAGGCCTGTGCAGCGAAATTCTGCTTTAGATGGAGGGAGCCTTCCGAGACAGAGAGAGAGGCTGTTTGAGGGACATCTCTTTGCGGTGGCATGTGGCAAATGCACGCCTTAAGGCTCATGATCTGTGTCCCCCAGGACTCTGAGGGGTCCTGCCAACAGGGAGCCCCTCGGGAGGAGCCTTTAAAATAGCAAGGCTGCAAAATCTGAGAAATGGCGGTTTGTAATGGAAACCAAAGCCCACTCTGGACCCCAGCAGCAACGCCGTGAGAATGGGCCCCATCATTGTCACTCCCGAGAGGGTTTTAATCGAAGCCGCCTCTGACTCACATATTATTATTGAGCTCCTTTTTCAGCCTGAGATGATGCCAGAAGTGTATCGCACTTTTGGGGCCTGGGAGGTTCCTGTTATAACCATGTCCGAGGAGAATAAAGTAAGGCCCTCACACCTAGAGACGGGTTCACATTTCATTTCTTTTCATCAGATTTCAGGACAGTTGGTCCCCCTATTTGACTGCCGTAACCTCAGGTAGGCCAGCACCCGAGGGCAGTAAATTCTCATTTCCTCTCGCTCTTTCCCACAGTCTCACTCTGGTGGCTGCTTTCGTGTCCTGTGGGAGGTCCCTGGGGTCTCCTGGCCTCTCAGGCCTCTCCGTGCTGGACTGTGCCCACTAGTAGAATTTCCAAGGGTCCTGATACTGAGGGACCTCAGCACCTGCCCACTGTTAGTTTGAGAGCTCGCTGTGAGGCCTCTGTAGTGCGCCACGGCTGCATACGCTCATACACACACACAGTATACACCCCACACACACACTCACACAGCCCACCCCTGCTGACACCCACAGGGCTGGCTCCTCGGCACCTGGACCCACCTCCCTGCCTCAGGGTCAGGGCGCCCACCCTGGTCCTGACTTGCCAGGAAACTACCCCGGAGCTGTAGCCCCTCTCCCTCCTCCCTAAAGACTAGCCTTTTTAGGTGAAGGAACCACTCTCGACACCCTAGCAGAGAGGCTGGCAGATTCAGTGCCCAGTGACTCTGTTGCATTGAATAAATAGGCTTGTAAACCACTGCCTTCTCCCACGTGCTGGCAGGGACGCCCCACCCCTGCCCGGATTCCTTTCACCAAGCCCCCCCCCCCCTTTCTTCACTGCCTTCATGGAGTGGATTCCGCCCTTTTTATCAGTGGGGAGCCACCAGGTCCCCTACCCAGGCCTTGCACAACATGCGGCAGCAGGACTGCGTGTTTCCGGAATCTTCTGGAAATTGGCTGCTCAGCCTACAGCAAAGCCTGGCTCTTTTAGTGACCCAAACTCAGGGGTTCTCCCCTGCTCCCTCCCACACATACCCCACCCAGTTCTCTACCCAGCTCACCTCGGGCCAAACCTGGAGGGTCTGGGCACCTCCTTAGGCTGTCACTAGGTGGCGCTATGGGGCAGTCCCTGGACCTGGTGGGTCGGCTGGCGTCAGGCAGCCTGGGGACTCCAGCTCTGGAGGCTGGACTGTGACCCACACGCACCCTTCTCAGTGCCACCTCACATGCAAGCACGGGGGAGGGGGTGTGGGTACGGCATGACAGTGGTGACGGGCGCCCACAGGAAGGAGAGGAACAATCGTTCAATGCACCGTGTTGAAACTGGGACCCTGCATGCAATGATTTAATTTCGGTCACATAAACAGAGAGGGTTAGTTTTGCCCAGGAGCAGCCGGTTGATTCTTACTTTGGAAACCCAGTAAGAACAGTTGTTTCACTGAAGCAGCTTGTCACTTTCGTAAAACCTAGTGGTTTTCTCTGTCACCAGACCACTCCCCTGTCACCATTAGGGCTGAGATGTTCATTACTTGTACGGGGCCCGGCACAAATAACGCCCCTCTTTATTACAAAATCATAAACATGTATTTCTGTAACATAACAATATCACACTCAAGCACACCAGGTGACATTTTAGGTGAAACGTTCGCATTGCAACTATAAATCATCACACCCCTATTATTGCCCTACCAACCACACTCGGGCAGGCGTTACTTCTGCCTGCCCCTGTCTCTGTGGAATTTAGACTGGAACTTTTTAACCGGGTACTTGGTCTTCGCCTCCCTTTCCCCTGTCGCTCTGTCGTGGGGTGCACACGTCCTATGGGGTTCCTAATTGCTGAAGTCGTTAGGAACAACATGTCCCACCCAGGAACTGCCGCCTCACGGCACAGTAGCTGCCGAAGCCAAGTCAGGGAGTGTCGCGATCATCCAACAGATAAAGAGTAAAAAGGGTACGACCAGGGAGAAATGCACTGAGTTAACAGAAACGTTCCCGTGGAAAAGTACGAGCTCCAGCTGCAGGAGAAGGGGCCCAGGGGGTGGAAATGCAGGAAATGGAGAGTCAGTGAAATAGCGCAATTTGGCCAGCACTCATGCCAGGGAGCGATTTATGGGCTGAGACTGGACGGGTGTGCGATGTGATATGACAGCTAAATCGGCAGAGGCGAGTTCAGCCTTCAAGGCCATCACTGCCTGGCCGCACGGGGCCAGCGCGCCCGCCCCACAGCCCATGCATCTGGAGGCCGTCCACGGCCCTTCAACGAGCACCTCTTGTGTGTCACTGAGCACGCAGCCATGCCACACTCCGAAATCTCAGTGGGGTGGGCATCGTCACCCTCCACAGGAAAACAGAAGCTCAGAGGGGCGAAGTGGCTTGCCCAGGATCACAGAGCTAGAAAGCGGCAAGCCGGAATTTCACCCCACCCGATCCAACTCCACAGCCTCTTCCCTACACTTTATAACTGGCCACCAGTCAGGGAGGGGAGAGGCAAGGGCCGGGGAGGCCCTCGCTGTCCAGTGCCCACAGGAGCACGGTGGTGACCTCTGGCTGTGGTTAGTGAAAGGTGCATAAGTTCAGGGAGACAGGTGACCTGGGTGTCAGTCCCGGATCTGCCACTCCGCTGCTGTGTGACTTTGAGTCCCAGTTCGCCTCTCTGTGCCTTGGTTTCTTCAACTACAAAGGAGGGACATCATGACGATTAGGTGAATGTCAGGGTCAGCTCTTGGTGAACAGTACAGCCCACCAACTACGCGGGACTATTACAGGTCTGTGAGCCAGCCTGTGGTCGGCCGGTACTTTAGCTGTTTTGCTTCTGCTCATTCATCACAACCAGCTGTTCCACCGCCTGCGTTTTCACTGTCTGTGACATCACACCTGCTTAGTGAGGGGACACCTGGACCGGCGGGAGTGAATGCTCAGCCTGCCAGGAGGGGCTCGGTGTGTCCACCTGGCCACAGCCTCCTCAGGACTCACCTTTCAGCCTTTCGTCCCCTGAGTGAGCACCTGCAGTCTGAGAACAGTGAGTTCAGAAGGGAGGAAGGGTGTCAGGGCAGTGACAGTCCTGGATCCCGCCCCAGAGGAAGAGCGGTTGAAGGGAGTGCAGAATTACAAGACCTGGATGAGAGGAACCTGAGTGTCGGCTCCAAACGTCTGACCACAGGGAGAGGAGGGGCAAACGCGTTCTGAGGGGCTGTGGGGTGGGAGTGGGGGGCCAGAGAAAGGAAGGATGGGTGGTACGGATGGGGCAAGGCGCTCCTGGTGGGCAGAGCGGGCTGCCTCTGGGCTTCAGGGGCTGAATTAGAAACACGAGATGACGACATTAGATGCTGCTTTTCCAATAATTCTGACAGTGCTTGGGTGTCCCTACAACGCAGCTCAGTGATGACACTGACCACCCCAAGTGAGAGCAGTGTGCCTCCCCCACTGTGTGTTAGGGGCTCAGTCCCACAAGAGTGAACCCCTTCACGCTACAGGCACAAGTGCGGGTCCCCAGCCTCCAACACTTGTATCTGACGTGGCTACAGTTGGAGGGTTCTCACAACCCCTGCGGGTTCGGTAATTCCCTGGAATGCATCTCAGACTCAGAGAGGTCCTGCACTTGTGATGACTGTTTCCTTGTAAAGGCTACAATGGAGGTTCGGCCGCAAGGAAGAGATGGGGGGTGGGCGGTACAGATCATCCCCGGTCCTTTTGGGTTAACCCCACCCCACCCCAGCTCGTAGCTGTGCTCATTAGTCCCCCGACTCCCTGGCCGTGTGGTTCCAGGCTTTTACATGCGGTGTCATTGTGTAGGGTGGGGTGATTCAATGACTGGCCACATGACTGAGCTCATTGTCAGAGGTCAGAGGTCAGAAGACAGGCTGAAAGTTCTGCCCCTCTCACCCCCCAGGAGGGACCAGCCTCCTTCCTGAAGCTACCTAGCCCCTCCCTCAGGCCCCAAAGTCATCCAATTAGCATAAACCCAGGTGTGGGAGAAAAAGTCCTCTGACATACGAATAACAAAGGCACTCCTGTCACCCAGGACATTACAAGGGTTTGCTTGGGGAGTCTGTGCCAGGAACCTGGGACGAAGGCCAAATACATTTTTTTATGTTGCCACAGAAACACTTCATCACCGGTCTGTCTCGAACATGCTGTATTTAGTGGTTCTCAAGCCGATTGTGAGGCACAGGTGCCTCTCAGCTCCACGTAAGAAAACACCTTCCTAACCAGAGCTCCCTGGCAGCCAGCGGATGGGCTGTCCTGAGGGGTCCAAGCTACCTGGAGTAGGCAGTGAGGACCCCAGAGCTGAGAAGGACGTACCCACGCCGGGAGGCGGTTAGGACCAGCTGCTCCCTGATGACAGTCATCAGGGCTCAGCGAGACGTAACCACCTTGCTTGGTTGCAGAGTCGGGAGCTGCTTCCGTTCTGGATGAACAGCACAGGCCGGAAGGAAGGCTGGCAGCGTGGGTGGCACGGTTATGACAACGAGCTCAGGGACATGCGGGGCATCTTCCTGGCCTTCGGACCTGGTAGGTGAGGGCACGACAGGGTTCCCCTTGTCATCCACTCCCAGGTGTCCAGGGACGCGGGGCTCGAGGGAAAGCCGGGCTGATGTCTTTCCACACAGAGCCCGGCCAACCCAGCCGGTCTCCGTGAGACATCTCGCACTGGCTCGCTCTCAAATGCTTCTCGGGTTTGGCCAATGTGGCCAAATAGTTTTCCTTGTAAATTTGAAATCTTGAGTGCAGCAAAGAAAATGTATTCCACATGTGCGTGATTCATCTTTTACTTAATTCCTCGAAATGGGATTTCGCAGCCATCCGAGGTCCAGGAGAGCTGACCAGACACCGGGCTGCCGACAGCCCCGGGGTCCAGCTTGGATGGGCTGGCTTCCCGGGGTCTGACCCTCCCACAGTTCCTCCCTGTGCAGAGCGCCCAACCCGGGGCCATTCGGTTCAGGGCCCAACCAGAAGCCGGGATCCGCTCAAAGGCGCCTAGGAAATGACCTGGAGACCGACTCTGAGAATCAGCCAGAATGACGAGGGATGCCTTAGATGAAAGCAAATTTACTGTGCCTTCTTTGGCCCGATACATTCCTAGGGCTGGGAGAAGACGAAGGTGGCCTATTTGGTCATTTGCTTTGATTATTTAGAGAGCTAAAAATTCACATTTTGGAAAAGTGTATCAAACACTCTAAAGATCATACTACTACCTGAACACCCTCTTCTTACAAAAAAAAAAAAAAACTAGAGTAAAAAGCATCCGACAGCCACAATCCTTCAGTTGATGGTGCATGAGCTACTCTTCTTTCTCACTACCGCCCACCCTCATAGTGAAATACAATAAGCTGGCCCTGAGTCCCACATCCCAAAGCCTTTTCCTGAGTGTCATCAAAGTGCTTCAGCCCATGAAATCCCCACCTGCCTTTCAAATGCTAAGTTAGACAGTAGACCTAGATGCCTTGCTCTTCTCGATGTAGCAAGACAAAGATATACATCGACCCACCTGCCTTGGGTCAGACTATTTATGACCAAAATAGCTGCTGAGAACCGTGAGGTGTCCATTTCTGCACCCTCCCCGGAGGCCTCTGGGACCCTGAGCTGAGGAAACACAGTGGTCCAAATCCCTTCCCACTTGTGATTCAAGTTCCCAGTCCCAAAGGAAGCCGCAGACAGCAGCAGTAGCAGCAAACATTTCCAGAGCCCTGGCTGGGTTCAGGACTTGGCTGCAGGGGGCAGGGCAGAGGGTGTCCAGCACGTTGCCATCAACCAATCATATCTGCCGGGTGCTACCTGTCAGCCAGCCCATCAGCTCTGCGGAGCTCCGAGCGAAGTGGGTGAGTGATGAAGCCCTGTGGACCTGGTGGAGGTCAACCTGCTAGATTAGCTGGGAGACACTCCAGGGCCAGGGCCACGGCCTTTGTACGGGGGAGCACCAGACAGCTGGGCTCCCATTCAAAAGCATCGCCTTCTCCTTCCCCAGAGAGAAAAAAGACTGTGAATGCAAAACAGTTGTCAGCTGAAGGCGTGTTTACAAGCTAGTCTCAGGCATACTTGAAAGCAGAAGCAAACCCCCAATTTTAAACCGAGTTCCCCAAGCTGCAACTTCAAGTTCACTTTGGTGGGGAGATTTTGTCCATTGGCCAAGGCCTCCGTTGTGTGCTCCTTTAAAACTCAAAGTCCGAGTCTTTTATAGACAGAAAGATGACCCCTGATGCAAATGGACTGGGCTAATTGCAAAAATGTTTCCAGGCAGATGGAGCCTTGAGAACCTCCCACCAAACACCACGTTTCTGGCTCCGGTTCTCATGAAAGATTGAACAGCTTCACACACTGGCTATTTACTCAGAAGAAAATGTAAGAGCAAGGCCGTTAACAGGAATCTAGCTGCCCTTTGAGGTAAAGGTACATCCCTCCTGGTGAATCGTACGTGCCTCTCGCTGAGGGAGGAAGCTGAACAAGGTTATGGCTGCACACAGATAAGTCTTAGAAGTCAGTGAGTCTGGCCCAGCTAAGAGAAAGGGAACTAATTCTGGAAGGCAGCCTCTCTCTGGTTAATCCCAGTTTCAAATGCGAACACCCCAATCCTGCCCGAGGAGAAGGCCACATTCCCGATAAGACAGCAGGGGCGTGGCTCAGAGCCTCGCTCAGCAAGCGGTCCGGGTGGCCGGGCACCTCTGGAGGCCGGAGAGCCTGCAGGCTTTAAGAGAAACAGTTTTAATATCCACAAAAATTTAACCCATGGGAATAACTCAGATTCCCAATACAGGTTCAAAATGTCATCTGGAGCTTGGCAGAGTTTGGCGGAGTCCTCCCAGGTCGGGTCGAGTATTGTTCTGCTATTCAGGAATTTTCGAGAAGCTCCCATTCCAGCCTGGCCCAGATTCCCAGCCCTGCAGAATCAGAAGCCATGAGCCAGAAGGAATGGGAAAGAAAACTCAACTCTGCTTCCTGTGGACGAACACAGGATTTGATTTTGCTCTTTGGACGTTAAAAGATGGTCTTCTGTAGGGTTTATCTCAGTACTTCTGCCAAGTGTTAAAGAAGGGGGTGTTTGGAAGGCTGGGGAAGGATATCTTGGGTTGACTACTGTCTGCCTCCCACATTCTCCCACCCACACGTCCGACAAGGACATGACCACCATGGGATGGGGCAGTAGGATGGCCACATCCAAGTTCACGGCAAGTCAGGAGGATGGAGGGGACTTGCTTTCCTGTCACTGGGAAACCCTTTCCATTGACTCCTCAGGCGGCAGCTGGTTCACCTCTGGGCAAGTACAGCCACCGTCTTCGTCCATCTGTGCCATCTGCCTTGATATGAAGAGGGGGTGCCTCCTGGGGTGGCCCTACAGCCTCCTGTTCTGGGAGTTTCTGGATTTTTTTAAAAAACAGATTTTACCCTGAGGGGATGCGGACCCTGATCCTCCTTGCACCCAAAGTAAAATGAATCCTCCAGAGAGTTTATGGAGGATTTTCCACCCACCGCCTGCTTTTACTGGGCATTTATCCTACGAGCCTGCTAACAATGCTAGAGTAATGCCAGCTGCCATTTTTGAGCACATACAACGTGACTGAAGCTACGATTTCTAGGGACCACGTCCCTGTTTCCTGAGGTGGCCCAGCTCGTACGGCTTGCAGGCTGATTGCACCCATGAACCTCTTTGCTCCGAATTCCATTTGAAATCTCCATTTTAAGAGCCATCACTTGCCCTGGCTTTCCTGTGCTCTGTGGCCAAGTCCCTGCATGTGACTTCCTTCCAAACTTGTCCTTTTAGAGCTGACACCAGAGCAGACTGGGGTGGCTGGCACTTCTGGATGACGTTGCTGTTTCGTCCGTTTGCTTTTTAAATAAAGCCTCTGTGACCATTTTAGCAAAGCAATGACAAAGGTCGCAGCCCCCAAACTACCCATTTCCTTCAAAACTCTTAGACGGACTGAAAGCTCATCCCAGGCTTTGCTGATTGACAGACTCTCCCTTCTCGGTTCAACCTCAGTGCAGCTTCAGGTGTTTTGCTGGAAGTTCTAGTTTGGGGCCTAAAAGTGAAACTGCTCATGGACATGATTACCAAACTCTTCCCGTCACTTAAGCAGAGAAACACCCTGCAGTCAGCATCCTACTGCCTCCCCTGGGGACGGAGCAGGTGTGCTCTGGATTGACATCCCTCCTTTGGCGCCCTGAATGCAATGCCATGAGTGGCCAGCCCTGCCTTCACCTCCTATGTTGCCGCTGGTGTTGGCTGCAGCCTCTGGGTTTCTAGAACCACAACGCTTCCACATGAGATCTCCCAGAGCCTTCCCTGGCTCTGTAACTCTGCCAATTTGCTTTTTGCCCCACACGGCCAAGTTATTTTGTCTGACAGTCAAGGGATCCTAACGAAGGTCCAAATGATCTTCCATCAGTGCTCAGGAAGCCATCGCTGTTGCTCTGAGCCAGCCAGCTCTGGGGACACTGTCCCATCCTACACCTATCTGTCCAGTCCTGGGCTCTCCACGCGGCAGGAAAGTGGAGAGACATTCTTGAGTTGCAGTGGGGTCTCTGCGATGGAAATCGGCAGGCAGCCAACCAGCCCCTGCTGGGAGATGTTTTGAAAGATGAGAATGCCCTTGAACTGGGCTTTGGAGAGCCTAGTCAGACAGTCAGACTTCTGTGACCGCACCTGGGCTCCAAGCTCTGCAGAAACAGACGCAAGGTCGGTCTTCGCTGACTGAGCTCATCTCCATGAGCCATAGGAAGTTACTCCCTTTCCCGACCTGTGGCCTTCCACATACTCTTCCGAGTTCACAATCACCTGGCCACGCCCCATCAGTAGAGCTGATTTTCTGGTCCCAAAGCCACCTGCAGCCTGAGCATAATCCCTCCACATGGGGACTCAGTGCCACTCTGCCTGGTGAGTGACTACCATAACTTGCCTGCTTGCCTTTCCCTTTCAGATTTCAAGTCCAACTTCAGAGCTGCTCCGATCCGGTCCGTGGACGTCTACAATGTCATGTGCTGCGTGGCAGGCATCGCCCCCCTGCCCAACAACGGGTCCTGGTCCAGGGTGATGTGCATGCTGAAGGGCCAGGCCAGCCCGGCCCCGTCAGTCCCGCCCAGCGGTTTGGCACTGGCCTTGGCTCTCCTCTTGCTGTTCCAATAGCTGCTCCCTTTTGTTCTGAACACTCGGCTGAGGGGCCTCCACAGTGGAAAGGTTTTCATTTTCTATTTGAATAATAGCTTCATTAACACAATCAAGGCCACACAATTTGTAAACATATTATTCTTGGATGATTCTCTATATAAAAGTCCCTACTCCTTAAAAAAGATCCAAACTTAATTCTTTTTCTGAAGATAAGGAACATCTTGCACTTCATTTGTTCAAGGGCATGTCATTTTTCTCCTTTTTTTCCCATATGGTAACTCAGATGAGCTGCCAGGGAGCAAGCGGCCTTAAGCGGGTACCGCGTGAGAGCCCTGGGCCCCGCTCCGCCCAGCTGTGCACAGAGCAGCCCCCGGCCTGTGCCCTGTCCACACCCAGCAGCTGTCCTGGGGATCCAGGGTCACCGTCCTGTACCGTGCCTTCCATCCCAGGCAAAAGGGGAAGACCTCCCCCTCCCCATGGCAGGCCTGGCTGCTGTCTGTGTGGGACCCGGCTTGTGGAGTTTCTCCATCTTAAACAGAGTCCCACGAAGGGTGTACGTTAGCTTGGGTGGCCCATCAATCAGACATCACTAAGGATTAGAGAACTTGGAATAAGGGGACAGGCATGAGTCCCCTCCCAGAGTTGGGGTACACCAAAAATGCCCTCCTGGCCTTCAGGAGCAGAAGAATTCATCATAGATCTGGCATCTGTGTGACTTCACACAGAGCACCCGAAGCCTTGCCCAGAGAGGGCCCTGCGTGTTGTAGGGGAACCGGTGGAGTGACGCTGGCCGGCCGGCCTGCCTGCCTGTGCAGAGGCTTACTCAGACACTACCGTTCTGTCACCGCACGGGCCGTAGACTGCTGCGATGCTGGACACACACCCCAGCTGGGACGGGGATGCATGGCTGAGGGCGGGTGGGCGCATTGCAGAGGCTTCAGCCCCAGCTCGGAATGGGGATGCATGAAGCCTGAGTTTCGTGTACCAGGAACCCAGAACTTTGCTTGTTGAATAGCAGCGGCGCAGTGGGTCCTTGAGTGACCCAGAATTCCAAGGAGAATGAGGGGGCTGGAGAGAACATGATGGAGTCAGGTCCCCATCACTAACCCACTACCCATTTGATCAGGAAACAGGGTGGCCGAAGCGCCGCCCACGGAGACTCAAGTTTCGCAGGACCCCAGAGAACCACCACTGAGCCTGGCTGAAATGTTTCCAGTTCAACCATCTGAGTCTGGTGCAGGAGACCTTGTGAAACACAGGGATAAGTGCATTTTGAAGTGACTGAAGCACACACATTGTTGCATTAAAAACAACTCTGCACTAAATGAGCCAGAACTGCCAGTGCAACCTTCTGTCAGGGACAGAATAACCCAAGTCTCCTCAGGACCAGAAGCCCTCAGAGGGTGTTTGCCTTGAGAAATGGGTATCAACGCCCAGCCCTGACTCAAGAAGGCTGGGAGCCGTCTCTGTGCCTTGCATCATGGGAGCAAAGGGTCACTGCTTAAACACATTAAATTTATCTTCACAAAAGATTTCTAAGGGTTTATGTAAGATGTTTTTGAAACGCAGCATTGAATCCATGGGAAAGAAAGCAAACCGGCCTTTGTTATCTGGCTGAAAGCACATTAGTGCTCTCGACATTGGCCGTGGTTGTTGAAACATGCATCTATCATTCAAAGGCTCTTTTCTCCTTAAAGGACGGTGCTCTGATGAATATGCGGAGCCCGCCTTCCTCCCTTTCGAGGGAAGGATCCCTGAAAGACAGCCAAGTGACTCACTTAAAAGTGGGTCATCCAAATAAGGAGGGGTGTGCCCAGGGGCACAGCCTCACGTGTCCCTCCAGCTCTGTCCACCGCTTTCCCTCACGACGCGTTCCTAACATCTTCCAGTCACATGATAAAATTTCAGGTAGGTGTCTGACAACTGTAGTGACTCAATAAATACTCTTGAGTCAACAAACGAGAATAAGGTACCTTTGGAATCGTGAAGATTGGTAACTAACGCAGAAAATTCAGCCCCTCGATGGAGAAAAAACTTTTTGCCTCAAGTAATGCATACATTTTAGTGGCTTTGGCTGAATTTTTTTTCCTTTGATTTTTGTTTTCAAGTTACATTATTTTCCCCAGGAAAATTCTTGTTTCCCTAAATGGTTTTGTTCCACTAGAGTAGAAATCCGTGAGGAACACCCGCAGACGCCTTTTCTCCTGGATTGTTTTGCTGCGCCATGGCTCATTCCAGAAGGACCACAGTGGGACTGACCTGCGCACACCGAGATGCATGAAAGGAATGACCCCTAAACTGAAGAGGGACAAGAGCCCCTCTCCCTGACTGTATGCGTGACCTCCAGAATCCAACCCAATTACGTCCTGAAGACATCTGCATGGACAAGCACAGGCCCCGGGGAATATGCTTTCCCGCCTGAAGAGTCCTGCACGATCAAGTTCCAACTCCCTTTGCTCTTTGTTTTTTTAAAGGTTTTTATTGTCGTTCAGTTACACTTGTCTCCATTTTACCCCCATTACTAACTGTCTTTCATATTCAAGAGGTCTTGGAAATCCACATCAGTTCTGAGTTCGGTCCCAGACACTAGTTCATAAACGTCCTGGGGCGGCCAGCATCCGCTGACCTACCTTCAGAGATGCGAGTTGAGAGGGTCCACATGGGGAAACATTTTTAAGTTGCACCGATGGAAGGTTTGGGTTCTCTCTAAGCAGAAATGGGTTCTGAGATGAGCCTGGTAGAGCCCAACCTCCTGCCAGGAACTCCATAGCCCACCAGCGTCTCCTGGGGCCGGCCGAGCTGCTGACCCCAGCTGGGTCCGGCCTCCAGCCCTCCTCAAACCAAAGCAGATCCGCAGGCCCCAGGGACTGAGAGAGGAGCCAGGAAGGCTCCCTGGGCTCCTCCACACCCTTGGCTCTCGTGGGTCTAAGATTCCCAGCGGTGCTATCAGACAAACTGGTTGTTCAAGACACACAGCTGTTTTATGAATTTCCTAACCCAGTGTTCTGCATTTCTGTAAATATCAGGGAATTTCCCAATGTGATTGTGTGTTTACCCTTTTTAAGCAATTTGCGAAAGACCAAAGCCAGCACGCACAGACTACTCTGGAGAAGCACAGGAGGGCGCAGCCGTGGCAGACTGCTTACGAACACGGAAAACCCGGTCTCGGGCACATGCGATGAATATACACTTCATCGTTCAACTTGTCACGTTGAAATCATAAAATAGCCCCGAGTACAGTGCCTCCAATGGGTCATAAATGTCCCGTAAATATGTGTTGAATAAAAAAAGAATAAATGTCATTAAAAGGGACTTGGCTTACACCTCAGATACTCTCTCTCTCTGCAGTTAGTTCCTCAAATTAAATAAACATTTTCTGTTTGGCTGGCTACCTTTTCTTGTCACCCAGTTGATAATTGTATTTCATTCCATGAATGAGACATGTTCCATCTTAGGCTTATACACTTGAAAGAAAAAAAGAGAAGGAGGAAAAGGGAGGGAGGGATGGAGGGAGGAAGAAGGAATGAGGAAATGAGATTTTAAATATACTGAGCATATTTGCTTTTAAAACATGTAACAGCTTTATGGAGACTTAATTCCTATACCACACAATTCTTCCAGTTAAAGCCCACAATTCAATGGCTTTAATATGTCCATAGAATTATGCAACTATTATTACAACTTTAGAACACTTTTATCCCCCCAAAAGAAACTCCACACCCATTAGTCCATCAGCTGTCACTCCCCGGTCCTTCCCACTACACTCTGGGAAGGACATTAGCCACACTACACTAGGTCCACAGGTTTGCCTGTGTGGGATGGTTCATAAAAACGCGCTCATGCAACGTGCTGTCTTCTGTGCCTGGTTTCTTTCACTCAGCATGTTTTCAAGACCTTAGCATGACTCAGTGTTCTTTTCACTTCCAAATAATATTCCATGGTACAGATACACTACATTTTATTTATGTGCTCCTTACTTGATGGACATTTGTTTTGCCCCACTTTTTCGGGTCTTGTGAATACTGCTGCTCTGAACACGCGTGTGTGTTTTGTGTGTTTTCATGTCTCGTGGGGGTGCACCTGGGTGGAACCACTGCCTCTTGTGGAACCTGTGTGTTAAGCTTCTGAGGAGCTGCCAGGCCGCTGTCCCAACCAGCCGCACCGTTTGGATCCTCACCAGCACTTGCTGTGTTTTCAAACCACAGCCACCCTGCTGGGTGTGATGTGCTAGCTCCTTGTGGTTCTTGCTTGCATTTCCCTAACGACCAATCATACGGAGCATCTTTCCATGTGTCTGTCTATTGGCCATTTGTCTATCTTTGCTGGAGAACCATCTATTCAAGTCCTTTGTCCGTTTTTTTTTACTTGAATGTTTGTCTTTTTATTATTGAGTTGTAACCATCCTCCCTGTGCTCTGTATCCAGATCCCTCCTCTGATGCATGGTTTGCAAACATTTTTTTCTCATTCTGAGGTCCTGCCCCTGTAAGGGCTCTGCAGCCAGCCCGCGGGGAGGCAAACAGTAGTTTCAGAGTTAATTTCCGGAGTGCCAGGTCCCTGCTAGGGCATTTGTTTCTGGAGCCACCTAGCACACTCCCTGGGCCAGGACGAGCTCCTAACCAATGTCATTGTGATGGCTCCAGTGGCCACCAAGGTGATGCAGGAGGACTCAGTCTGGCCTGGTGCACAGTGAGGCCACATAGGACCACCTGGAACCTGGTCCTTGGAGAAGAGCCCCACGCAGCTCACTTCCCGGGGCCTTCTCCACGCCACCCCCACTCCAGGCCTCAGGCCGCCCTGGCCTCCCCCCGCACCCCCCCGTGCACTCCATATTGAATTTTGTTTTGTTTTTGCTTGTTTGTTTGTTTCTGCCAGAAGCCCTCATAAATAAGGCATAACTCTGTGAATTAACATTCTCCCAATCATGAGTCTTGGTTTAACTCTAAACAAAAGAATGATTCATTTTCTTTCCTATTAAAAACATTTGGGTCATGTCATCGCCAACAGAATTTGTTATATTCTTGTCCAGTTTAAAATACGGCCCAACAGATTGTCTTTGACCAGGTCAGAGCCCAGGTCTGGCTGAGTCACCTCTGGAACGCCACATCCTGGAACTGAGTCCCACACACAATGGGTCCCTACAGTATTGGAAACAATGGACAAGTCTGATTTTTTCAAAAGAGCGCGCTGTCATGTAACGCAGTCACTGGAAGGTATGGGCTGCCCCGTGTCGAACACGTCCCTGTAGAGAAGGCTCAGACTGGTAGAGACAGAGGAACAGCACACACCACACCCTTTGTTGTGGGCTGAACTGCCCTTTCTGAAAGATATATCCTTGGTCCCTGGCCCTAGGACTGTGACCTTACTTGGAAATTGAGTTTGGCAGGTAAAACTGAATTAAGATGAGGTCATCCTGGACAAGAGTAAACCCTACCCCAGTGACTGGTGTTCTTAGGAGGAGAGGGAAATGGGGGCCCAGGAGCACAGGGAGAAGGCCACGATGGAGGTAAGAGGGACATGAGGCGTCTATAAGGATCGCTGGCAACCACCAGGCACGGGAAGAGGCAAGAAAGGATCCTCCCCTAGCGCCTTTGGAAGGACCAGGGCCCTGCGGACACCTTGACTTCAGAATTCTAGCTTCTGAATGGTGAGAACACAAGTTTCTGATGTTGTAAGCCACCCAGCTTATTAGAGCAGCCACCGGAAATGAATAGACACACTCACCCACTTGTTTGGGGGGGACCGGAAATGGACAGACACACCCACCCACTTGTTGGGGGGACCGGAAATGGATAGACACACCCACCCACTTGTTGGGGGGGAAGGAAATGGATAGACACACCCACACACTTGTTGGGGGGGCCAGAAATGGATAGACACACCCACCCACTTGTTTGGGGGGACCGGAAATGGATAGACACACCCACCCACTTGTTGGGGGGGAAAGGAAATGGATAGACACACCCACACACTTGTTGGGGGGGCCAGAAATGGATAGACACACCCACACACTTGTTTGGGGGACTGGAAATGGATAGACACACCCACCCACTTGTTGGGGGGGCCAGAAATGGATAGACACACCCACCCACTTGTTTGGGGGACTGGAAATGGATAGACACACCCACCCACTTGTTTGGGGGACTGGAAATGGATAGACACACCCACCCACTTGTTGGGGGACCAGAAATGGATAGACACACCCACCCACTTGTTTGGGGGACTGGAAATGGATAGACACACCCACCCACTTGTTGGGGGGGCCAGAAATGGATAGACACACCCACCCACTTGTTTGGGGGACCGGAAATGGATAGACACACCCACCCACTTGTTTGGGGGACCGGAAATGGATAGACACACCCACCCTCTTGTTTGGGGGACCGGAAATGGATAGACACACCCACCCTCTTGTTTGGGGGACTGGAAATGGATAGACACACCCACCCACTTGTTGGGGGGACCGGAAATGGATAGACACACCCACCCACTTGTTTGGGGGGGTCCTTCTTCATCCCAATCCCTGCACTACGGTTGGAGACACACAGAGGAGGGAAACACTGCTGTCCTCTCACAACACCTCCAGTGTGCTCATCTCATCTCTCCATTTTCTAGCAAAACTGAATTTTCCTTTCCGTGGAATGAGATGTTCGGCTTGCTACAGGCCACGCAGGGACACAACGACACGGAGTCGCACCATGAAAGAGGGTGCCTGCTCTGGAGCAGAGGGGCTGGGGGCAGGAAGGGCACCTCCTCCACCACCGCCTTTGGGGTCTTGCTCTTGGCCATTGGACGTCGGCCCTCCACTTTCTGCTCTTTGCCTGTGTAATTATCTCACTGCAAAGGCAGGACAGCCGCATTACTCTGCTGGTTAGGAACCACCCATCTCTCATCACTAGAGTTCAATTCCAAATTCTGCCCCCAACCCACGTCTGTGGTTGGCCTTCCCCTCCAGGTCCCAGTGTGTTGTATCAAATTTCTCGGCCGAGACCCCTCCACGGGCCGTTCTCTACCCTCTTCCACTGTCCCTGTGTCCAGGGTGCCTCACCTCACTGTGTGTGCAGCAAACTTTTACTTACTCTTCATAGCCCAGATTCCCTGTGAATGAAAACTTTCATATCCTTTCAATGCTGCCATTTAGTACAAAGCAAGTTGCACTGCACTGTAATAATTTGTTTTTAAGTGTCTCTGACGAGGCTATAAGCAAGGCAAAATGCCGAAATCATGTTTTCTCATGTTTGCAGTCTCCAAATGAAGTTTAGAGCACCAGCGAAGTCTACCACCAACAGCTGATAATTGTCTGGGGAACATATGAATGAATGAGTGAATGAATGAATGAATGAATGAATGAATGAATGAATGAAGCAAAAATCTTAGGACACTCTGGTCAGAAGATCTCCTGAGTTTGGACAGAGCTTCCCCTGCAGGCGATGGGTTGGAAAAGCCGGCTGCAGGAAGCGTTTTTATAGAACGTAGCAGGATTTGACAAATGACTAGCTGTGTGACACAGAACCCGGGGGGCAAGAGTTTCTTTTCCAGAATTTCAGCAGGCTCTCCTCTTGAGCCATGAGCAAGAGGAAGTGGAACAGATGGGAAGAAAGGGAGAGAAGAAAAACGAGCTCCGTCTTCACCATGTTTAATTGGACTTTCAACAGGACTCGCACACTGTCACTTCCCTGCCATGTGGAAGAGCCCAGAATGCCGGCTTCAGAGGCCAGTTTGCCCTTGACACAGGGAGCTGGTGGCCGGGGGAGGTGGGGAGGAGCTTCCAGAGGGAGGAACAGGCAGTTCGAGAAACGCCCTTCCTGGGAAAGCCTTCCTGCTGCTTCAGCAAGTCTGGCCTCCGTGGTGGTGTCGGGAGACAAGCAGGAGCTGAACCTCCACCAGAGCCCATGAAAGGTGGTGCTCAGAAGTGTGATGCCCCCACTGGGCTGGGGGCAGGGTGAATAAAAGAAGACAAGAAGGCCATTCTGCCAGCGCTCTGACAAAAATGGCAGAAGGAATTCTGCAAGCTCAGTCCAGAGTTCAACTCAACAAAGTGACAGGGAGTTGGGGTCGAGTAAGAGACATTATTCCCCTGGGCCATCTCTGGGAACCTGCGTGAGGTGGTGGGTGGCTTGTGGAGGCTTTGGCCCACTGGGGTGCAGGCTGGTCTCTGCGTCTGTGGCCCTAAAACTAGCACCTGCCTGGTGCCTGAAATTAGGAAATACATTTTATACTAAGCGTCTCTCATTTGTCCCAGGTGACTGAGGAGCCAGCTGAGAGGTTAAATGACTTTCCCAAGGTCACGTGGTGTGGTTAATGTGACCCCGGGTGTGAAGAGAAACGTCACAGCACTGCCACGACCTGCCCAAACACACCAGTCTCCATCAGCACTCCTTCTAAGCCCCCCACCCCAAACCATGCAAGCAAAGTCGGAGCAGGGGGCCTGTTTTGTGAATGGCTTTAGACATTCTCTTAGCACGTCCACCCCAACCCGTCATTCGCGCCATGCCTGGGGTTCATGTGACCCCAGTGCCCTCTCACAGGACCCCTATCAGCTCCTAAAGAGGAAAAACATGTCTATCTACGTGCATTGTAGAATAATCTTAATAATTCAGTGTGTGTTTGGGGCACTGGTTTTCAAACTGGGCTGTGCAGAGTTGCCTGAGGATGTTATTCACAAGTACTGATGTCCCGGCTCTGACCCTGGAGATTCTAACTCAAACAGTCTGGACAGGGGCTGGGCACTGGTGTTTTAAACAAATATCCCCCAGGTATTCTAACGTTCAACCAGGAATGAAAGACAGCTGGGAGGAAGAAAAAAAATTAATGAAAGGAAGAGAAACAGTAGAAGCTGTGCTTTTTGAAGAATTCCAAGGGAGCACGTATACTTTGCATAATTTTAAGGTAGAATTTGCCCGGATAAGGAAACCCGTACTCTGCCGTGTTGTGAGAAATACATCTGTCAGCATGCTGCAAGTTCTTTGGTCCTTCATGATAAACAGCAAAGTAATACAGACCACCTTGTTTCTGTTTCAAACCAGACCACGTTGGAGATGAGCCCTTGCTACAGTGAATCGCGAGTAACAGAGAGCCTGTCTACCGGCTGTGGGCAAGCAATCCTCGGCAGAAACAGCTACAGGCCAAACAAGAAACAACTGCGTCCACGTGGCCAGAACAAGCTATTTGGTAAAGAGCACTCAGAAAAGCAACCAGCCTTGTTCTGGGTCACGGAGGTGAAATTTCACAACAGGTGAAACTTAGTTTGTCTTTGTGGAAATGGTCTCACCTGGTTCAAACACCAGGTTGAACGAAGCAAATCAGTCCAGCAATGAAATGAACACTGATGATATAAGCACAGCAGGGACCAGACACCACCACACTGGGAGAGCTATTTAGAGTTGATAGAATTTACCAGTCAAATACTTGGGGCAGGGCTTTTGTATCCTGGAAGGCCAGACCCTGTGACTTTCTGGGGGCAGGCCACCCCGGCGTGGCACTCAGCACAGGCTCAGCACCAATCCCATAGCAGAGCTGCCATCACAGGACCCTGACGGAACGGCAAGGGCCGGGCAAGTCCCCGGTTCATTTTCAGAGGCTCACATAACCTGCCTGTTCACTGTGATGACACACAGCTTTGCTCTGTCTTTCTAGTAAACAGGGCCTGTGCTCATCCTGGCAGAAAGCCTCTACCCACGTGAGTGTCATGAAACGTGAGTCATCAAACCTTTGGACTCTGGAGTAAGTGGCGGAAGGGGAAAGATGGACTTTTAAAGCTTAAGAACAATGACAGCAACTCTAAAGGAAACATGTATTGTTGAAACTTCTGCATCAAAAACCGACCACCATGAAGTTGATTCCCACCCAGTCAACAACAGAACACACTGAAAAGATGAACAGTAAATACGATAAATGGTGAATATGCTCAATCTTTAAAAAAGCCATATGAATCAATAAGCACATCATTTAGACCCCAATAAGTAGATAAAAGGCACAGATCCCTATATACTAAATATTTTACGAACAGATAAAATAATTCTGTAACTTCACAACAGGAGAAACTCTAAAAAAATTATAAAGACTGCCTTAATCACACCTCCTTCTGAAGTTCAGAAAAAATAATTTCAAGGAAAAATGTGAAAGTATCAAGGTTAACTCCTATCCTAACTGTTTTAAAGTAAAAATAAGGAGCAGATTAATGGTCCAACAGCCAATGAAAACATGGCCAAAAAAACAGGGTCACAAAACAGATCCAAACCATAACTCCTGTGTCGAGATGAGCTAAATGACATTCAAAAACAATGTAAAATATGAAAATCAAGAAATCAAATTCTAAAAACTTAGGAAGAATTACACTCAAGAAAGAGTAAGAGATAAACAATTTCTTCAGCATTAATAATCACAAGAGATAAGGCTTTGGGGGAAATAGAAAGAGGAAAAAAATTTTAAAATCAAAAATAAAAGATAAAAAGATTTAAGAGAAAGTGACAAATAGTGAAGAGAGCCAAAGACCATCTAACATGAAGTAACAAGAGCCCAAGAAGAATGAAACCAAAACAAAGAAATAGGACCAATATTAAAACTCGAATGCAAAAAAATTTCCCTGAAGCTGGAAGGGAAAAAAAAAAACCCTGAAACTATAGATTGAAAGAACATTTCACATACCTGAGTACGTAAACCAGAACCACTGATATCAGAACCGAAGTTTATTCAATTTTATGACCAAACAAAACATCCTTTCAGCATAAGCAACAGGAAGTGATTTACAATGAAAGAGATGTTTCAAACACAGTGCTTTATGGCAGAAGACATTGTACTAACATATTGGAGACACTAATGGGGAGAAAAAGTGAGCCAAGGATTCCGTGAAACTGACTTTCAAATGTGCAAAGTTCAAACTGTTAGCACCGCGAAAAAATTTAGAAACTGTTGTGCCCAGGAAACATTCAGCTTTTCCGATGACTCTATCAGAGAACAAGCCTTAGACAACCAACGCGACCAGGGAAACACTGGCGTGAGGCCTAGCGAGGAACATTCAATCAACAGCTGTCACAGAGCGAGGAGAGCGCAGGACGCGGTACGTTGACAATGTGGACCCAACATCACTGGTTTGGGGGGGGCAGGGAAGGTAGATGGAGAGGGGATATGCAAAAAAGGTAACTATTGTAATCAGTCTTATCGGTGGTGGGAATGTTTATACTGGTATCACAAAACCATCACATAAGTAATGTGGAATAGAACGTATGAGCTGATATGAGATATTTTCATTATATCATCCCTGTGTACCTGAGAACCAGGATTTCCCGTGTGGAAGAAAGAATATCAACTAGAAGAGGTTCGAAAAACCTCTATGTCCTGAATTTGAATCACGAGTATCAATAAAAACTCCTAGAGATTCTATCTTTAAATATATATTTTCTAGCCCTGTCCACTAAAAAGACTTAGAAGCAATAACATTTCCAGTCGCATTTCTAGGGTGTAGGGTGTGGTTTTGTAAAATACCAATTCCCAGTGTATGAAGCCAGTGCTTCTGGAAGAAAAAGTTGATTTCATAGCATTTCCAACACTTACAAAAAAAAGCAAGGAAGAAAATACACCAAAATAATTAGCAGTGGTTTCTGGGAAAATGTAGGTGATTTTAACTTTCTTCTTTATGGTTTCAGTATTTTATAAATTTCCTCAAATGACCCTCAAAGTTAAAAAATCAAACATTAAAATAAAAAGAGAGCAAGCAAAATGATGTTATGAAAACACACATAATGAAAAGGAATATATGAAAGCCCATGTTTTGAAAGAGGACACCCGCCAGCCGGAAGATAGGAACCCAAACTCATTTTCTAAGGAACCCTTCTCTGAGGTCGTTGTACATACATACATTTGTCTCTCTTGACAGAAAGATTCAAGTCCAGAGGCCACAAGGGCCCCAGGAGCACGTTAGGGAATCTGCAGCCCAGAGTGCCCTGGGGGAGTCTCAAGGCTCCCCTGGAGCCGGCTGCACCCCTCATTAGTGTTCTGTCAGTTCCACTGGGGAGCAAGAGAGTGTAGGCAGAGCAGGACATTAGCTTGCATTTCAAACGCTTATTGCTTGGTTCCTGGGAACTGGGGTCCCAAACAATTTCTTTCCAGAAGACACAATATTCCAAATAACACGAAATGGAAGAGCCTACCTCACATCTGAAGTCTCCCAATGCAGGCACCAGTAATCCCACCTCCTCGGCGGAGCAGAGGCAGGGCGTTGGCACGGAGCATCTTGGGTAAAAGGTCCTAATGGAAGTGTTTCCAGGTGAGTCGGAACGACCACAGCTGATTTCAGGGGTTGGAGAAATGGAGGCACAAGGAGAGTGGCCACAGGAGAAAGGGATTAACCATTGGCTTCAGACCCGAATGTCTTCTCAAATCAATTACCAGGGGCCTCGACGTCCCTCCTGCAAAACAAAGGCAAGCTCACGCATCATGAAGTTTGCAGGGGTGCAGTAAAGATCATCAAGAAGCTGTTCGTAAGCGTCCCATAGGCCCCTATGGGGAAAGCGGTTATGTAAGCAAGTGTTGCACACACAAAAATAGAGGAAGAAGTCCAAAAGGAGAGTGCGAGTCTTAAAAATACACCACAGAGCGGTTTCTCAGTTGTTGAGGGTGTTATGTAGGTCTCTGGACCTCGCAAGAGCGAGGTGACTTGAAAACACAGGACAGAGACTGAGCAGCCTCCTTCCGGGCAGGCTCTGTGTGCCCTGGGTGTGTGGGCAGGTGACTTTTCACATGAGGCTGAACACAGGCCTGAAAGAGCAAAAGCTACGAGTTCCCAGAGGAACCACTGTAAACTGTTTGAGGGTCAGTGCTGGGGTTCTCAAACTGCCGGGCAGATTAGAATCACCTGGTGGTTTGGGTAAAAGGCAGATTTCCAGGCCTTTCTGGGTAACCCCGGAAATGGTCATCAGTTTGTCCGGAGTTCTTCCAGGGAATCTGAAGTTTAAGAAACTGATTCTTACATGTCCCAAACTTTGAGAATTTGTGTTCTAACTTTCACAGTCTGAACTGGGACAACATTCTCCAAAGGCAGAGGTAGGCTGGGCATAGCCAAATTCTAACCCTAGTTCTACATTTTGCTTCTGCGTGGTCAGTGGGGAGGAGAAGGGAAGCAAAGTTTCCTGGGACCGACTCAGCACAGTTACAAAACACAGTCACCTGTGTGCCCAGAGCAGCCAATGGCAACTGCCTGAGGCTAAGCAGTTGGCGGAATGGAACCAACAGTCCCACTGGGGTTAACACGCAATCCACTCGCCACAGGTGGCTACTGAAGACTTAAAATGGGGCTAGTTGAAATTGAGATTTAATGTAAGTATAAAATATATACCAGATTTCAAAGATTCAGTACAAAAAGCATATATAAAGTATTTAACATTTTCTAGCGAATGCACATTGAAATGATGTTACAGACATAATGCATTAAATAAAATATATTACAAAAACGAATTTTACTTGTTTGTTTCCTTTCCTGCATGAGGTTACTGGAAAGTTTAAATTGCTTCTGCCACTCACAGTGTATTTCTATTGGGCAGTAATGCTCCGGATCAATTCCCTATCTGGGTCTTCATTCACAGAACCCCTTGACCTTGGAGCATGCCCCTGCTGGATAACCCTGGATAAACGAGGGCTCCTTCCTCATTTCCATCTTTGCCAAGGGGTCCAAACTGTAATGTCCCCTCAGGAGAGAAAGGAGGAGACAGGACCGACCCAGCTCACACATTAGTCCAAAAAGCCTGCTGGACAGAAACACCCCCACAATATGGAGAAAGAGTCAAATGGTATAAATTGATCATTGAAAGGATAATAAAACCCCCAACAGTGTCCAAAGCTGTGTGTTGTAGAGTAACTCTGTCTCCTCTTGACTCGCTCCTACTGTTCCCATGGGGAAGGGGAGACTTGGGGGAGGGAACTGGTACCCCAGCTCTAGACAAGTCAAGAGCAAATATGGGCCACCTCTACTTCTCCTGGAGTAGACCTTGTACATGACGCAAGCCTGGCCGGTTCCATCAGCAGTGACTTTCAAATACAGTTTTGAAGAGTACTTCTTCAAAACGAGTCATTACATTCTCGTTCAGGTTCTTGGATCACCGGCCCGATGCCAATAAAGATACAATGAAAGCACTAGCAAACTTCTTTTCAAATGGCAGAGCAAGCAGAGATAAATTTGTGGGTGATTTGGGAGCATGGCAAATTTTATACCTAAAGAAAAGTGTAAGAAAAAGAGATTCCCACCTTGTTCTCTAAACTGGAACTGAAAATAACAACTCAGATGTGCTCCGACTGCTTGGCTACTCTGGGTGCTACGGCACCCTAAAATTCTACAACGATTCTCACAGTCTCTCTAGTCTCTGTCTTCTGGGCAGCTCCACTGAGGGCCTCTTACTTGTGTCTTCTGTCCTGGAGGGTCAGGTCACAGCCCCCGTGGGCCGACAAGCTCTCCACTTGAATCCCAAGGTGGGAGGGTCTTCCATGCCTAGGTCTTGAGTTAGTGGCCATAAAGCAACTTCAGTGAGTTACTCCAACTGTAGCCTCCTTACTCGTGGGCAGGAACTGCAATTCATGAGGGAAAACAAAACAAGACAAAACAACCCAATGTTTCAAAAGGCAAAGTTCGCAGCATCTTGTCAAGCCTTGGACTCAGGAGGGATCTCATTCACCAGCAGAAGGAACTGACCCAGACTAGAAATTACGTTAAATGACAGGGAGGGAAACTGTCCTTTTCCTGGTTCATAGCAGCCGCCTCCTGGGGATGCAGGAAGACCCCGGCTTCGCAGTCCACACTCCTGCGTTGTCCTAAATGGAGGGTGGCAATGTGGCTCAAGCAGCAGTACACCGAGTCACAGGCCTGCCTCCTGGTCACATACTCCATGTGGCGATGAGTTATTCCTCTGCCATATGGGTCAGAGGCCAGAGACTCTCCCAATTCCTCCATTTTTGTTTGGCTTATTGTAGATTTTCTGACAGGAAATGGGAATTTGGTTGATAATTACCAGGCGTACAGATAAGGTTTCCTCATTAAAGTCTCATAAAACCATGAAAATAAATCATTGCAAGTGGAAAGAGAAAGAAAATCTTCTGTTTAGACTTTTCCACGACCGTTTAGGCCAATTATTTTCCCTCTTCCAGCCCCGGCGACTTTATTTTCAGCTAGCATGGGGCCTGATAATCAGAGGAAAGAATTTAGAGACCTCACAGAACTTCTCTGATTTTAAGTTAATGGCTTGGTATGTCAAGGACAGGCCAAGCCTGGCAGAATAAATTATGGAAGTGCAGCTGAGGAAACACAGTAGAGGAAACCCACGTAATACGTGTCTGCAGATATGATATAAACATAAATAAATACTGCAATCTCAAGAAAATCGAAGGGGTTCATTTGGCCTGTCTGGGAGATGAAAGCCATTAGAAGTCATGGAGAGCAGGGACACTCCCAAATGAGACTCCACTAGGAATGAAAGCAAAGCACCCCTCCCACGGTCCCTCCAACGCCAGGCATCAGGGCCCTGATGGAGTTGAGTTTCTCCCAGGAATTTCCCAACTCAGCCACAAGCCCAGGAACTTCCCAAATTTTTTTTTTTTGGCCATCATTTCTCTGGCCCCAAGTCCCAGCCTTAACACCATTTTGCTTTCTCCAGAGTTAGTCTGGCCAGCCAATCAGAACAATGGTGGTACTGGATCAACAGGTGTCAGCAACGACCGTCAAGGTTTCACAGCAGGTTCCTGAGCAATATCTCACCTTGGATGGGTGGAGCTGGTGCCTCTTTCTCTATCGAATGCCCTACAAGAACAGGGAAAGAAACACACTCTAAGGTCAGTTAATAATTTCACACTAAAGTTAACCTGGATTGTTTATAAACCATTACAATGAAGATATTCAGGAGGGACCACTAGGTAGCAGGGTGACCAACTGGCTAGGTTTGCCAGGGACTGAGATCAATGTCCAGGGCTAAAACCAGACAAAGCTGGACAAGTTGGTCACCCTACTGGGTGGACCAGGGACAGTAACTGAAACCCGACACAGCGCTCATTTCACCTTCTCCTGCGAGACTGGAACATTTCTTAGGCAGTGACTACAACGTGCCAAAGTATAAGAAAGTTTTGATTTGAGCCTCTTTCCTCGCCTTTGGTGACAAGTACGAGACAGGCATGAGATCCAGCTGGAAGGCTCCATCTGCCCCAAATGTCTCCGTGAGTAGAAGTTACTGTCTCAGTCTGCTCAGCTGCCATGAGAAAATACCAGGCCGAGTGGCTTAAACAGACACTTATTTTCTCACAGTTCTGCAGGCTGAAAGTCCAGGACTCAGGTTCCAGCCAATTCTGTTTCTGGTGAGAACTCTCTTCCTGGCTTGCCGACAGCCAGCCACCTTCTCACTGTGTCCTCACAGGGCCTTTCCTGGGTGTGCAGGGACCAGGAGAGAGACGTAAAGGAAGCTCTCTTAATTAACGTTTCTTATTATAAGGACACTGATCCTATCAGGTCAGGGCCCCGCCCTTATCATCTTGTTTGACTTCAATTTTACTTCCTTAGAGATCACATGTCCAAATGCAGCCACACTAGAGGTTAGGGCTTCAATACAGAAATTTGGGGGAGACATAAACATTCCATCCGTAATAGTCATGTCACTCAATGAGAACTGACCAATTTTCAAGCCCCATTTGAGAAGATCCACTGAGAAAATGGATCTGACAGCCCTTGATAGACCAGAATGCCCCATGTGAGTTAAGCATACTGTGTAGACCAGGATGATGATGACTGGCCACCTGGATGGTGCTTCCTGTCTTTTGAACATACCCCTCTCTTCTTGTCCACCTTTCTCAGTGGGCAAGATGGACTATTCAGTTTGTCTGATGCTTGCCACTTGTTATTGGTGACTTCAAATGAGCCCTACAATTGCTTCCCTGAGACCCAAGATGCCAAGCCCCATTGCCACAGACACCTTCTTCTCCCCCCGCCCCCACTGCCCTCCTGCCCTACAGCACCTTCTGGTGCTGTAGCCAGAAACGTGGATCAATGGAGAGAGAAAAGGCAGCACTCTGGAGTCCAAAGTCACGGCCATGCTTCCCTTCTGGTGCCTGGCAACACTTCTGGGTGCTCTGTCCTGCCCATCTGAAGCTCCCAGACCAGGAAGTTATTTTCCATAAAATTGTATAAAGTCTCCAACTAGCCAGTTAACTTTACCCAATTCTCTCTCAGTCTTATTTGAAGATTCTGGGGGAATTACCAAGTATGGTAAAGAGGGCCTGGGCACTGTCTCTCTATCACCTGAGTCTCTATCTTGTTACCGTTTATCTTAAATTGAGACCATCCAGGCAAAAACGCGTTCCTAAATCTAAGTGTCCAGAGCCCAGAGTTAATCCCTCAGTTACCTGCACCTTCATGGAGGTCTCAGTCGGTACCATTTTCATGGGCTTTGCAGCTACATCTTCTGGGCCTCCATTACCCATTGTGAACCACACAGAGTCCTCCCCTCTGTTAAGTGTTGTGTGTGATGTGGCAGAGGGACAACCCCACTTGTCACAGGTGGTGTGTTCCTATGGCTCATCAGGCTGGTGTCAAAAATGTGTGTGAATGACTACACGAAGATTTGACTCTACCACCTGCTCCTGCATTGATGTACATGTTTACACTGGCTGTGATTTCATGGTGGGTACATCTGGGGACTTGGGGATAAGGGTTCAAGTAGAGAAGAACCGGGCATTAGTCATGAGAACACGTCTGATGTCCCAGCAGCGACTTGGCCTCTCCTGTCAGTGGGGGTCGTGGCCTGCATACATCACAGCAGCTGTGGCCGTTCCTGAGTGCACACGGCCCCCGAACATGTTTACCTACATTGGGATCGCCGCACCTCTGAACAGACAGCAAGGCCATTCAGAGCTTCAAGGCTGCTCATGTCCACACAAAGCATCCACCTGGGTCCATAAGCAGTTCAGTTTAGTCATGGGAACAAGATTGTGTGAAATTACAAAAGGCCAGAAAAAAGAATAAAAGAGTAACTGTACAGTGGAAAAGCCTGGCAAATGCTGCTTCAGAGAGGTGACCAAGGTCAAGATCAAGTCATAAATTATGTCGAAATGTACCCTTGATATGATGTGATGAAGATGGCACTTAACAACTGTGACCTTCCTTTTAAAAACCCGTAACTCCAGTCTGATCTTGAGGAAAGCATCAGACAATGCCAATGTGGCATCCTACAAAAACCTGACCAGCAGTCCTCACAGCGTCAAAGTCATCAGAAACAAGGACAGTCTGAAAGACGGTCACAGCCAAGGGGAGCCTAAGGAGACAAAACAACTAAATGTGAGACAGGATCCTGGATGGAATCCTGGATCAGAAAAGGACACAAGGGGAAAAGTAAGGAAATCTGAACGAACTATGGGCTTCAGTCAATGATAATGTGTGGCTATGGGTTCATTAACTGTGACAATGGTACCATCTAATGTAAGATGTTAATAATAAAGAAAAATCTGTGAAGGACATGGGAGGAGGGTATTTTCATGTAGTCAATACTCTGTGCCAACCCAACATATGCTCAACACTACGTGCTGAATTTTCCTGTAAATCCAAAACTGTTCTACAAAGTCTGTTAAAAATAACAAAACCCACATAAGGCAATGAGACTAGTTTGCCCAGGTGGAGGAATGTGTCAAGAATAAATAAAAATGTTTATTTGTATATCTATGGAAACTCATTAGATTTTGAGGGCATTGTACTAAGAGAAATGAGTCAGACAGAGAAAGGCGAATACCGTGTGATCTCACTTATATGTAGAATCTAAAACACACACACAAACTCATAGACATAGAGAACAGTTTGGCGGCTGCCAGAGGCAGGAAGTGGCGGGGACAGGTTGCAAAATGGGTGAAGGTTGTTAAAAGGTGTAAACTTCCAGCTACAAGGTGATGACTAAGTCCTGGTTTACTTTTTTAAAAAAGAAGAAATAAAATACCATCACGCCCTTGAACATGGAAGTCAGCTAAGGAGAAAACACTTTAATAATCTCGGTTTTAATTTTCTACTTTATCTACTTTTTAATACACAAAAAAAGCTTTAAAGGAATTGATGACAAAGTCACAGAGAAAGCTCACAGGTTGTACGATTCCAGTCATACGAAATCTCACCATAAGGGGTGAATCTACAGAAGCAGAAAGCAGATTCGTGGTTGCCAGGGGCTGGGGGAAGGGAGGAATGAGGAGTGAGAGCTCTTGGGGATGGGGTTTCCGTTTGGGGACCAGAAGAGAATTTGGAACTAGACAGAGGAGATGGTTGTACGACCATGTGAATGTACTAAATGCCACTGAATTCCTTTTCAAATGACTCATTTTAAAGAGAAAGAATTCACGGACAGGGACACAGGTGCTGGCTGGGGGTGGGCTGGTGGGGCGTGGGGGTGGAAGAGGGTATGGGGGATAAATAGTAATGGAAAAAATACAATAAAATGGTTTAAAAATTCATTTTATGTCAAGCAAATTATACCTCAATTAAAAAATAATGTGAGATAATAAAATAATTTTTAAATGCAATAATTCGATAACGATAATAA